GCATAGTTTCTTTGGGTAAAATTTTATATAAAAGTTACTGTCTCTGATACGCTTAATTTAGAATTGATGTCAAAAGAAAATTCAAGTTTGCTATTTTTCAGGAACATTTACCAATTTCCTAAAGTGAAATAGCCGCCATATTGAATTTTTAAAATACTTAATAGATTTAAAAATTCTCTTTTCAACGAGCTATCACAGAATAAGATTGAAAATAAGATACCAGTTATATTAATGGTTTTTATATTTTGATCAAGTAGTCCGTGATGAATTAAAAAAAAACAAAACAAAATCTATTCGAGACAACAAACAATGAAAATAATTACATCCGATTTTTAAATTACTGGCCATTATTAGTGAAAGCAGGTGAAACACACTTCAATAAGACAGTTTACTTTACGCCATGGATTGATATGCTATGACACGGCTTTAGAACGGCTTCGCACAGTTGTGTACGTTATTATTATCATTATTATAGTTGTAGTTGTACTTTATTCTTTAATGTACAATGTAGATGTACACATTTCGCAGCCTCTTATTGGTAGGTACCATAAACCAACCCTTTCTGTGAAACACACGTTGTCTAAGGAAGTTTGGAAAATGTGTACCTAAATTGGTGAGCAGTTCCATCCAAGATTACCGGTCTAATTAAATGACTTTCCATTAGGGCCACAAAATACATTAATTTAAAATCTTCCTTGATTTCGGCGTGAAATTACAACATGTAGGTACCTAAGTTTTCCTGTGACGCGAGTAGTGTTCATACTTCATTTCATTATGTCAATTCGAATACTCCGTAGTTATAATAATTATAATAATAATGTATATTTCATGGAAATGTAAACAATGTAGTACTTATACACTCGTCCAAAAGGAAAATAATGGGAAAATACAATAACAAACAAAACAAAACATTCAAACTATAGTTATTCAATTCACTGTTGCCCTAGAAACTCTTTTACACTGTAAAATGCTAATTATGTTAACATTTTTTTTTACATTTAGTTTAAATTGTCGCGGTGATTTTATTACTTTAACATCATCAGAATCAGATAAATGATTAAATAGTTTTAAGGCAACAATTTCAGTGCTATTTTGAGATTTAGCCAATCTACAAAATGGTATCTTGAGCGAAAGCTTTTTTCTTGTATTATGGCTGTGCACTTTCGAAACTAGTGCATATTGTTCAAATTTGGATTTTACATAACACACGCAGTCTAAAATAAACATGCATGGTACAGTGTTGCCTATAGTAGTGTAGAAAAAATATGCCTACACTCATCACGATAACCAATATTCCCAATAATCCGAATAGCACGTCTTTGTAACTTGAAGGCATATTTTGACTATGTGGAAAATTGCCCCAAGCAATTATTGCATACGACATAGTGCATAATATGCGCTAAATGCAACTGATTGAGAAACACTATTTACTAATCTCCGTAATAAAAAAAGATTTCGGTTAAATTTAATAGATATCGACCTAATATGTACATTAAAAGATAATTTAGGAATTGCGATAAATGTATGCCCATAAACTTCACAGATTCACTATCACTAACATTATGAGTTTTTAGACTCATAATCAGTTTTTCACTTTTTGCTGTATTCATTGACAATTCTTTTGTTATGCACCACGAATTTACTAATTTAATATTGGCTTCAGAAGCATGAAGTGCAGTTTCCATATGATCATGTGCCGGTAAAGTGGCGTCATCAGCGTAAAGTACGCACGTGGTGCCTTTTAGTATTGATAACGGCATATCATTAATAAATATAAGAAAAAGTAAAGGCCCTAGGATGCTACCCTGTGGCACTCCTCTTACCATGGGAATTTTATCCGAGGTTGTATTCTGTACACGCATCACACTGAGATCTGCCACTAAGATACGATTTCATTAGTGTGATGCTGCTTATTTCATCAAAGTTATTTTTCCAGTGGTATAGTATGAGAGTTTTATAGCTTCACTTATTAAATATAAAATAGCGTTTGAGGTGCCTTTTCCTTCTCTAAAACCGAATTGATTTTGATGCAACAGATTCTTTTCCAGAAAACGCATAATCTTTATTTTCATAAGTTGTTCAAATATTTTCGAAAAAAACCGTTCTAATACTCGACTGGTAAAACTGTTGGTTGCTTAGTTTCGATATTCTTACGGAATACAAAACGTGACCTAGCACAATGCATCAATGGTAATGCGTTGTGTAAAGTAACGCAAAGTATCTTGAAATTTGTTCAACTTGATAATGGCATGATATTTTTTCGGGGGGATAGTTTTTAGTTGTACCACCATTTTGTAGGTATTGAAGTATGGATAATAGGATAGTCAATAAGTGATGTCATAAAAGTTCAAATTTTTGTGGACGTATACTTAGATAAGTATATAACATTTCGGAAGGAGTTGTTAATTCAATTTGTTGATCAGCTGTGAATAATCGTTTATTTTTGGTTGTACTTTTTATGAGATTTTGTGTATTTTCGGTTTGCAACATTTGCGATTAAACCGTTTTTATTTTTGCGTATTTTGCATATTTTGATATTCTTTGCATTTACATGATAGACTTGCATATTTTAAGATGTAAGTATTTAAATTTTTGTTAGATTTAATCGGCAGTAAAGAAAATTCGGAAACAAATTTTTAAAAAAGCATTTTTAAAAATTACTTATTAACAGTTGATTTTATCGAAAAAGTACTCATAACAATATTTATAGCACATACAGAGCTTTCATTAAAAAAAATAATGAAATTGGATCAATAATTCCAGAGATAGGACCTATAGGTAGTTGATTTTATAAAACTCAACATCCGCCATCTTTGATAGACCGCCAATTCTATTAGCTACCGCTTTGAGATGGCAATCATGGTTTTTTGGCGTCCTAATAAACCTGTATAACCGCTGTAAAATGGAAAATGGGTACCCCCCAAATTATACCGTCATGTCGACTGGCCCATGGACTAAATATTTTAAAACTGAACATAGGTAATTAACATGGGAAGAACGTTTTTTGCAGATCGTTGCTCCCCATGTTAACTTAGAGGGTTTATAATGACACCAATCAAAAGAAGATTTTTTTCCTCGTATGATGATATACAAATTAGTTTATTTTCAGGTGTAGGTATTTCTCAATTATTTTATCTAAAATTTCGCAATAAATCCAATTAGCAAAATCATGTTAAGCCATGGAAATTTCCTAAAGAATTGAAATAGGTTTTCACACAGAGGGAATGGGACGCTCATTAAAATGCACGGAAAACAAATATCGCGTACTAAGAGTAAATATTTCCGCTGTAAACGTTGTTTATTATAAATACCTACACTTTTTCCTCAGTGAACCGCATTTTACAAAAAAATTAATGCCAGTTGTCATAAACTGATATTAATTTCGACGTTTGAATCTGCTTTTTGTCTTACTAGTCATGGTTTAACATGATTTTGGTAAGTGGACTTATTGCCGAATGTTTGATAAAGTAATGAGAAATACACCTGAAAATGAACTGATTCGTATATCATTAGACGAGGAAAAAATCTTCTTTCGATTGGTGTCATTATAAACCCTCTAAGTTAACATGGGGAGCAACTATCTACAAAAAACCTTTTTCCCTCGTTAATTCCCTATGTTCGGTTTGGGAATATTCATCCGGCATATAGGTTTAGGTACAACATGACCTTTCAAAACATACGTCGAAACCGTAATGCAAGTTTCACTTGTCCTTAACATTCGTTAAGACACGGTTTAATGGAAAGGAGCCCGGTGGAATTTCTGCGGTGATAGAGCCAAGTGTAGCCCACAAACAAGTAGGTACCAGTTAGACTGCTGTTATTTCGTACGACGTGAAACTGAAAAAAGGAACGACGGCGAAAACAAACAGTCCTTGGGGTTCTCCGGTAGTCCTTGTGATTTTGTGTGGATTATGGGCAAGTGGAAATCCAGAAGATAATGAAAAGACTGCATTTGCCCTTTGATCAGGATGTTGGCAACTCACGGTCATGCCATTTGGATTGTGCAATGCACAATGGAATTGATTCTTAAGAGATTATCCTGGAAAACTTGCCTGGTTGATATTATCATAGTAGCAAAACTTTCAAGGAACGCATAAAGAACCTTGAAGGTATATTCCAACGACTCAGAGATGCCACTAAGACCCCGAGTCTTTAAAAGTACAATTTTTTCCGACGCCGCGTGCGATGTGAAGGAGTATCTGTTGACCCGGAAAAGACAGTAGGCCTACTAGATTGGCCTGCTCCAAAGGGTAAACGCGAACTAAGAAGTCTCCTAGGTCTGGCAGGTTTATATACGTGCTACAGGCGTTTTGTACCTTTTTACAAACATCGCGAAACCGTTAGCACAGTTAACGAGGAAGGAAGGAGACAAATTTCTTGCTAAGGCTCTATAATGCCGCTTTGAAATGGCTACTAATTCAAGAATCCCGGTCCGATAGCAAAACGGTACCGTTTCATTTTTGGAAGCAATGGATCCTGAAAAATCAAATAACCAAAGATAAATAAAATATAAACATATATAAATGTTCTATCAATTTGTAAGTACAATTACGTAATCTATCAATCGTCATACTCAAGAAATTATTAACACTAAGTACCGAATCAACAATAATAATGTTTCTCAATTTATTTAAACAATTTGGCGATTTGCCAATGTGGCAGTGTCACGCTTACAAAAATCTGTGCTAGATACAGAATACTTTACGTAGTTTTATTCGCTAAAAATATTAAAAAATGCAGTTTTCCTTTTAACTGGGGAGCAGTTTTTTACTAAATGTCAACAGCTGCTCATTTTTTAAGTAAAATTTTGCCCGCACTAATCTTGTTACTGGCAAATAAATATAAAACTATCACATTTTACGCATAGTAAGCAACCTTTAGATGAAACCTTGATCCATCCAAAGTTAGCCTCTTTATGTACAAAGGCGACGGGAATTGTTCGATATATACATCAGTTCTTTTAAAAAACGCACTATAATTAACACGCACTGTCTTTAAAGCTTTGGTATGTACAGACACAGTTTTCATTTTTTCATGTTCAAAAAAATCAGACTAGAATAAGTTCCAATAAGCCGACCGAGCACTTCACTTGTTAAGTAAGGTCTCTTGCTCACTTTGTTTCGTAAGATTACCGGACAAAGTCGGGTCTTTGATCCGATTCCTTTTGAAGAAACCGAGCACCCACAAAACGAATATCAGCAATATTAGTAACACCAAGCCCGCTACAACTGCAAGAATGATTATCCATAATGGGACTCCAGTGTCCAGTTGTATCGATAAGTCTGGATAGGCGTTCGTTTCAATCTAAAATAAATACACTTGAGGAACGCGATCAACACTCAAAACTGAAATGGCTACCAGCATGACTGGAATGCTCCGCTCGTGTTGGTGGATGTCGGGATCTTCGATGCCAATACTTCCGTATGATAATATACGCACCCAGTCGACCTGACTGTAATCTTCCACGAACGTCGAATTCCACAGGCGCGACTTAATCGAGATCGTCGAAAGGCGCCCTTTGGGATATTTGGGAAAGATGCAATGAATTTTTATACATTTGGCCGTATGCTCCTTGCAGTCCTACAATTAAAAATTCTAACGTGCATCCGGCATGGATTAGAAATGTAATTACCATAGTGACAACCTTCCTTTGCTTGTTATCCTTTCCTGTAACAATCGTAGTCGGAACCACGTAGTCGGTCTCTCTGCGTCTTCTAATAAGTCTACTGATAAAAGAACTGCCGTCGTCCACTTCATTCTCTTGAGTATCAAACGAGCTGAAGGAATTCGTGAGATGATCTTCGGTGGATTCGAATGTCTTAACTCTGGTTTCCGATTTGTTTTCATATGAGCTGCTCCGATTGTAAATTGGAACGGGTATGGGATCTGTCGACATCTTCTCCAAATTTAAAATGTTAATCGCGTTGTCGGGTTCGACATAGCAATAATCCTTGTCCCTTCCTGCAATTAGCAAGTAAAATTCATGTTGATTTAAATCTATTTCGGATTAAATTCGGACTTTGTATAATTTTAACACATTTAACTAAGGGCATTCTTGTCCTAGAAGCTTATACACAAGATTTACGGGAGATGACCATAGTAGAGCGAAAAATTTGAACGTAATGTTACCGTCCTTCCAATTTTATTCGTTCGTTAGTTGTATCTACGTCGTCTAGTACAAAAACAGTCGCAGGTAGCCGCCCACTGCAAAACTTATGTCTTTTTCTTGGTGTGGGCTAGATAGAGATTAAATAATATCATAATTTGTGTGTTGTGGTGGGCGGTTACCTGACTGTTTTTATACTAGAAGAGCAATAGTACGAAACATAAGGGTGATGAAAAAATATAATTTAAAAAATGCAAAATTTGCTCGAAAATCACGCTGCGAGCTCAACCAAAAAGCTTGGTATCGACAATTAAAGGTGATTATGAAGGCGTGATTTTTGATTCGATAACTACCAAAAAACTAACCGTCTGTAATATTCACTTCTTCCAAATACAACAACCACTTTCCATTTGGTTTATCATTACCCACTTGCCATGGCCACGATACTGTAACCCTTATATCAGCGTAAGCCATCGGACCAAGCTGTTGAATTTGATAAGAGTGCCATACGACGCTTCCAACGTCATCAAACGTTCTCATTGCTTTCTCTCCTTTAACTTCTCCACTGTACACGACCGTCTTAGTAAAGTAGGAACTAGAAGAAGTCAGTCAGTTCGGTATAGACTAATGCATGGTAATCGCACCTGCTGATCTTAACTTCGGCTTTCCGGCTAATCAAGGCGTTCAGCACCGATTTGGTTTGATTCGATAGCTCCTCGGACGTTGAGTTTGTAAAAACAATAAATTGGAATTCGTCGTCCGAGCTCGTTTTTGACTGATTATGCGCCTCGCTCGTTTCGAACCTTAGCTGTAGGGCCAAAGAACGATTGGCTCGAAGAGGGTTACCTAAATCGCATGAGACCACTGTATCGTTCCGTTTCGAACACTTGAAGCTCCTCTAAAATCTCCGATTAGTGAAAACCGTTAACGACTGTAACGGGAACGAACCGATTTATTTACAATATCAATGTACCGCACCGCTAACGGATGGAACACAAACACTTTTGCTTCATAGGCAGGATCGCCTTCGTTCGTTACGTTAATTTCCAGATGGAACTCCTCCAAATCGCCAAGATTTAGTATGAATTTGCCGTCATCAGTTTCTGTAATGATAAAACTGTGCCAAAACTTACTATGGTTCGGCACAACTTACCATTCAGTAGCAAACTGGCGTTCATAATAATTTTGCTCTGGCAGATATCATCGCCTCCACAGTTCTTCTGGAATGTAGCTGCAAAGTCCTTGATGGAAGTTTGATTCAGTATGGCCGAATGAGGAATATTGTTTGAGATCGTGTAGTTCAGTCGAAACTGAAACGAGTTGAATGTGCGAATTTGGACCGAAGTAGGCTAAATATACCTTGATAGGGGTTAAAATATCGCGAGTAGTGTTGGGGAAGTAAACCGTTTCTTGTTGGCAATATTCATCCTTGTCGTGCTGCAGCGTGAAGTACCTAGTTTGATAATTGCGCTTGATGTTCTCATCATCATCGTGCTTAAACCATACTCTGGATATCCCTCTCTCTAAAACCTCCTTAATGTGGCAACGGACAATAACTTCGTCAATTCCGCTTTTAGCCGAAGTGATAGTGAAACAGGCTCGGAAGGTGAAACTGAAATTTAGACGTGCTTCATTTGAGGATAAGGTAGATACATTACCATTTATCCTGTGAGTCGGGATCCACCTCGCAACCTAGGTAGGCGGTATTGATATTTTTCAATTCCTTTCCGGTTACCTCTGTTTTAATGTCGATAATTGCTCGCGTTCGGAATAGTACAACTGCATCGGAACCATAAGCTCCCGCTAGCAGATCTGGATAGCCATTGTTATCCATATCCATTCCGCCACTAAGCGAGTAGCCCAACGTATAGGCATTTTCCCACCCATGTAATTTCTAAAATAATAATAATAATAATAATAATAATCATCTTTATTTAGGATAAGGAAAAGCCACAAGGGCCATTTATCCCTCCTCTACAAGCTTAATCATATAAATGTAGTTAAAGTTCATTAAATAGTAAGTACATAAGAATATAGATAAGTAGATAACATCAAAGAGAAAGAGTATATATACATTGATTGCAGTGGTATGAGTTAAATTTAGCCTACAGCGTTCATCAGGAAGTTGTGGCATTGCTGAATGAAAAGTTTTCTGGCAGTGATGAAAATGGCACTTGAGGCTGGTTACATACAAATTGTAAGAAAATACCTGAGACGGAGTGGTTGATAGGCCATCTTTACCTCCCAGATAAATGTAAATCATCCCATATCCCTCATAAGGAGCACCGACCGCAAGATCATTGTAGCCATCTCGATTAATATCTCCCAAATTAGCGAGAGAGATGCCAAACTGAGATTCTAGTTTGCCTTGCAGCACCGCATCGTTGTCGCAAGTGGTCCAATTGCATTTCCGCACGTTGTAATATATGTAAACCGATCCGCCGACCAAATCTTGGAAGTAGAACGGCGAGGAAATCAGTAGATCATCGTAGCTGGAATGGCAATTGAAAAAGTGTCTTAATTGTTGGCACCATACCCATCGTTATTGTAGTCGGCAGCTAAAATTTCATAACCAAAATTGGAAGCGAACTGCTTCCCGTCGATTGCAAATTCAACAACCAGCTCCAGCTCGGATTTTTTCGTGGTATTCTTATTAAATATGAATACCTTTCCGTGGTCATCAGCACGTGGAGCGCCAGCTGCGTAAGATCTGTTGTGATTGTCGAAGAATCTTCCAGCCGCGACACTCATGCCTTTAAAAGCGACGCTATATTTTTTTATTAATAATTCGTGACACTATACCTAAATAACTGTACTTATTAATTGGTTCCGGTCTATCATTTAAAGGGCCGATATAAACATTTTTATTTCTTTGTAGAAATTCGCCCGCGATTTCTGTAACAAATATCGTACCCCGCCAGGTGAAAGGGCCTGGCGAACCAATCACTGCGGTTCCATCATTTAGAAGTGCCAGACTGGTACCGACCTGACAGTAGCCAAATTGTTGATGTTCCCTAAAGTAGGGGTCTTAATCAATTCTGAACTAGTGACTAGTTACTTACTGTAACATTGGCCTTCCCATGCACGGATCCCATTTGTCCTCCCATGCCAGGTGACTGTTCAACGAGTAACACAGACCCAAGCCGTACTGGTTTGAGTCGAGATTTTCACTCCAAATGTATCTGTGCGCGCAAACCATCACTTTACCACCTGCTCCTTGCGAACGCACATTGACGCCCATCCACTGACCGTCCTTAATTTCATCATTGCCGGGTGGCCGCAATTTGACCGGTATCTTTTCTTCGTCATCGTCCTCGTAGTCAAAACCTCTCGCTAAAATTTGTATAACGTTAACATGTTTGATTGCTCAAAGTTACAGTCCAATTCGTTTTGGATTTATGGCAGTATCTCAACATTATCATTAATTATGGATGTTCCAGTTGTTGATTTGTAATTGGGCTAACGCTAGTCGCTTATTATCTTAGCGATCGATAATAGAAACGAATAATTAATATGATACGGCTCTAAAGAACCAAATAAGTTACAACAAAAGTATATACAACAAATAGATGTTGGTTGTTCTTCATGTTCTTTCTGGTACTGTTAGGAATTCCATGACCAAATCTGCAAACGAATATAATTCCCCGGTGCCATTAGTATTTTAAGTGTGATATTACCAACAAACAAATTTGATCACAGAATGCTCGAGTATATCTAGTGTGAAGAGCAACCAATAAATGTTAAATATTTACACATCATTAGGTTTAATTATTAATAAACATAAGTAACTAATAATGCTGAGATGTTAAACATTGAAGTGCAGCATAAATAAATTGGACTATAACATGTAAGTGTTAGTAAATAAAATTGCAGAAAACATAAAACAGCTGTCGAATGTCGCGGTTATTCCGTCCCATTCCACTTATTTCATCGATAGCCATTTTAAATAAACTAAAAAATATGTTAATGTCGTGTAATGTGCAACTGAACTTAAAAATGAAAAATGCTAAAAAAAACTGTGACAATTATACAGAAGCGAAAATGCGGTAGGTATTTACAAAACTATTACATTTTCAAAGTCTTAATCGAACAAATCACTCTCAAATCGATATTCGTGGTCTCCAAAACGACAATCGATTCATTAGAAACGTTAATCGATTAAAAGTGTTAAATTTTTATTGTGTATGTAATGATCAAAAAGCTGGAAAATCAAAGACTACATCAGCAATGGTGAATATTATGAATGATCCATGTTTTAGTATTTTAAATTTGAATTAATAATTTTGAATTAGTGAATGATTAATTTTAACTAGGGAATTAAAAAATAAATAATAAAAACCATGCAAAACCAGTAACTATACCAAAATTTAGTAACGGAACGTCTAAAAAATTAATTGTTCTATTTTCGCCCATTCGAATGTTATAAATAAATCTATAAATAAACATCAAACTGCGTCAGGTCGACGCTCTTCATGAACATTGAATCTCCGTTCACAATAATGAGAACTTGAAATTACTTGTCATGGGCGATCTAATCGAAAACAAATTTGCGTATATATTTACAACTTGCGATGGAGTTTTTTAATAGCCTCGCCAAAGGAGATTAGTTACAAAAATGTACGAAAGACGGATATCATCGTATGTTGCAACACAGCAAGAGTCATCGCATGCAGAAGATTCGTGCAGAATTAGCAAAATACTCATGCAAGAACCAAAGTGCGGCATCCCAAAAAACTTCGAGATACCAAAAATTGGCTATAGAGACCACCACTTACGCACATACTGCCCGCTGGCCACTGGACGAACGCCCCAAAAACAAAAATACGGTTATACAATAGCCCCAACAAAAATATATACTTAGGGCTAAAACAAAAACTAACTATTTTCAACAAAAAAAAAACTTCTTAGCTAAGACTGTCTATCCTACTTATACAAAATCAAAAACTTAACAATAAAAACGTTTTTACATAAACCTACGCCCCTACTTGAAAAACAACGAAAAGGCTAAGATTTTCATAAAACTCTACTTATCTATGTGCTTTATGGTTTTTGTATTGTTTAAACTGAAATATAATTAATGTTGTAAATTTGTAATCTCCTCATATAACCAAGCGGCAAACTTACGCCTATTCCCATCGGTTGGAACTTGAATACAATCGGTTTGACTTTTGAAGTCGTCTAGTGGACACTTGAACAGGGCACCGGAGAAATTCGTATTTGGCTGAAGATTTTTACCCAAAGGAGCACCGACAAGCAACCTGAAAAAAAGAAAAGTTTTAAAATACTGGATTGATAATCGGAGATCTTTTCGACACCAGAATAAATTACCTTTAGCTACCCTAGTGTAACTAGGCTTAGCGAGTAAATAACTTATCGTCTAAAAATGCGAGGGTTCAAAGTCCTTTCGAAGTTTCTAGCCGACAAACAAAAGGAAAATATATCTGGCATTTGTTATTCCAACTTCTGAATAGTTTCCATTTGGGGGTGTGACAACCCGGAGAGGCGCAGGGGTTCAATCAAAGAATCGTCCCCGGGTTGTTAACATTTCACTACACACAAATGGCATATATCCATAATTGAATATGAAATTAATTGTTATGGTTTTGGGTTGATGATAGGGGGAGGAAACCTCTAAGCCGATGCATTCGTTTTAGTTACGTCTCATTAAATGGCTCCTTTCGATCGCAAATCTGGGTTATCGAGATCAATAGTTGTTTCTGGCAATTTTCCATACGGCTATAAATTTAAGAAGTTTGCATCGTAAATGAAAATGTAACCTTACGTAAACAAAGTTATTATAGGGTGAAATGAGCGCAAAGAAACTCGTCCACCCCTTCGACAGTGTATCCGGCTGTGTAACATTTAACAATTGATTTTAGTCGAAAGGTGAAAGAGGTTTTTCGTTGAAATGTGAGTTTAATACCATTTTTGGGGTTGTATGTGTATCACATTATATTAACCAGTCAACACGTTCAGCCCCCTTTCAGTTAGTTTCGAGAAAACTGTATCACACATAATTGGCTTGTCGCCCTTATGGGGGTGATTTTTGACATGACTCACGCTATTCAAGCGTTATGACATCTGCATAAGATTTTTCATTTAATTTATTAAGTATAAACGTCACGTTGTTACTTCCTTCTACGCTAGACGAAAGGGCGGCGACGTTCACTTTTTACAAGCGCTAGTCGTTTACGGACTTGTGGATAAACCATTAATCTTTGGGATTGAACACGTAAATTAATTAGAAAAATTGTCATTCGTTTTTCTAGTAGAAAGTACGCCATTACGCATAAAGAACCTGACTCAATTCCCACAGTCCTAAATTGGTTGGTATTTTAGGTATTACAAAAAATTTGTGAATGCTTGCAACAATTGTTCAGTGGTCAGTGGTCACCCACTAACACAGATAATAATCAAAAGGCTCTTGCATTTGTTACTTAAGTATAAGTATTTATCAATCAGTAAGGGATCTTTTTGTTTTGTTATCTACATCTACAACTCTGTAGAACAGAACAGCATCTACTAATTTTACTGCAGCGATCATATGCATATAATAAAACAAGATGGGTGGTTCACTGAAACATGTTTTTGATGTTTTATCGGTATAGTCACAGATCTGTGTAACAAACGTCCGATATATTATTGAGTATCTTTTTAGTAGGTATACCTGATGGGGTTTTGTGTAAAAATGGTTTATGATTGCTTAGCACACCCCGAGAACTTCGTACCGTTTATGGGAAACCTCGTTCTCTTGAATGGGACAGGGTGTTGCTGTGAAACGAAGTGTCAAAGAAACAGTGCGGCGTATGTTTCCTTGAGATATTGTTTTCATAACCGGAAATTTGCTTTTTAAAGGACACATTTTTTGTTAGATGTAGTTGTTGAAGAAAGAAACTGAATTTTTTTTAAAAATTAGATCAAGTTATTTCGGTTTCTCAAATAAATACTTCGCTTCACGATTATTACTGTTTTTTTTTGTAATAAACTTAATACCTTAGGACTTAGGTTATGGCCTATGGGCCTACGCTCTTTTACTACAAATTAATTAGTTGTTGCGAAAATATCAAGAATGACTCTTTACCACAAATACCTGGAAGTTTGCTATGCAGGAAAACTACCAGATGAAGGATCTGCGGAATGCTGCATATAAAGTTTCATTTAAATATCTTCATAAATAAAAAAGTTAGCATTGGACATGCGTTAAACCAAATTTTTGACACTGCGCATGAGCAAAACCCAAAAATATCGGTATGTACGGAATTTCTGAACCAAGGCCTTTTAAATGAGCCCCATATCGCCCAAATCGTATGGATGGACGGACGACAAAGTACAACCAATAGCGATTTTCACTTTGAGGAAAATACGCTAGAAACAGAAAGTGACTGATACCCACGTAAATTTAAATGTAGGCATAGACCTTTATGTAGAAATTCTGTATACTGTCTAACTCTATCTACCGTTGATATTAAATGATTTTTGAACGTGAATTTTCCTTGGACCGAGTTTCTGGCGATGGAGTATTTCAGCGCAAGCGAAATTTCCGAGAGTCGGGGGAGAATTTTCCTACAACCGAACCGCCGCCGTTTCCCTTAGTTCTTAGTTATTCGGCCGTGATATGTAATATGTTTAATGATTCAGTAACAAAAATTAACCATTAGTCTCAGTGTAGTTTGTCTAACACAATTGATCCAATTTTTTTTTCTAATCACTTCAGGGTGATTCCCAAATTTAGATAAAATTTTGAATTACTCAGCAATTTCTTTCGGGAACGGCCAGAACACATTACCCTGATGTGATTGTGGTCATACTCCTTACCAATGCTTTGATGCTCTTTTTTTCACGCTTCCATTTTGTAGTGGTAGAGCAAAATCTCCATTATTCAAAAATTTTGTCGCGGAAACTGCAAAATACATTGCCTTGATGCACAATAATCGTGTTATGTGCTACCTTCTGTCTTGGTTAATCTTTTAATCTTTGGGCAATTTTGTTGGGAACGCAGAAAAAACCTCTACCGCAATATGCAGGGGCAAGATACTAATCTAAGTATGAAAAATGCGATATGGTCGTCCGCAGACTTTTGGAATTTTACCAACAAAGTAATCGAGGGTAATTCAATGGGACCATCTGTCACGGTACCTCTCAATTTTCATTTAAATTTTTTTCTAGAATTAGGTAAAGTTAGAAATTTGAGGACAATTTGAGGATTGCATATCATGTTAGAGAGTAAAGGGTTGAATTGATTTTTCCAAATAAATGATATTCTTGGTGGAAGTTCAAAGAATAAATTTGTCAACCGAGGTGCAAATGTGGTGCGTTTAATTTCTATGGAACATTGTTTCTTACTGGGTTTCGAAATCCTCTCGAGCCGAGAACTCTGGGATTTGTATCATATTGCCATTGCTGGCTCAGCATTAGAGGTCACTCACTTGTTCAGCGGATCTGGTGCTTAAGGACAATCTCTTTCTCTTGTGCTTTCATGAATATAACGATTCCGATTGGCGCAATTAAAAAACATGGCGGACTTATACGTGATGGTACAAAGGGACAGTATTTGGTAAAAATAATAGTGGGAATTAATTTTGGGGAAGATTTTGGGACCATTCGGGTTTTTGACTGTCAGGGTAATCGCTGTGTAGTCTAAAAATTAGAATTGTTAATCAATTCGCGTCTTAATCGCAGTAGAGCCAATAGTATCGCGATTTTCCTAGTAAAATTTAGAAAAGATTCACGTTTGGAAAGCCGTGGCTATAGGTGCGGAATCTTTAGGAGCCGCACTGCTGCGGCTTATGTCGATAGGTGGCGAAAGAGTAGAATTTTAAGCACACAAATAAGTTTTTTACGAATTTTTTGAATATTCTATTCGAAAAAGCAAGATTTGGTTTAGGTATTCTTAGATATTTGCATAAAAGTCAGGAAAATGAAACATTACTGGCGAGGAAATATTGAAGTACGAGGGCCCTTTAATTTCCAAGTCAGGTAATGTCATTTTACTGGCGAGTTTTGTACTAAATTTTACCTGAAATCGTATTTTAATATAAAATTTCAATGTTTATATAGAACGTTTGATTAATGTCAATATGTCAGTGATGACAGGAGTCATTATAGACATTTAGAAAAGTCACGAATGCGGCCGGTAAAGTGACGGTGCGGCCAGTAAAGTGACAATCTGCAGGAAACGTAGTCTGGTCTGCCTCTGTCATGGGAACTAAAATTTCCTGACAGAAAGTAGACACGAAAATGAAGGTTTTAGAACGATTTTGGGTAAAATTATTTTTGTAGCGTTCTAAAGATTTTGGCATGTAGACAAGGGCGAATTAATATCTTAGAATTTCAGTTTCGTTAACTAATTACATATTAGATGATTTTGGATTCCTATGTTAATTGATAACGAGCATTAAAGCTGCAAGGTTCGTGCAGACATTTTGCGATTGACCCAAAATTCCGCACAACAATTGGCATTACTGCGCTAAAGAGTTTGGAAATTTTAATCTGGCAAATTAAGTCAGTGTAATTAACGGTAGCTAAGTAAATGAGTTGCAGAACAGCATACACAAAAGAAGCGTTCTTAATTAATTTAAATTTTAAGATCAATTATTACAGATTTTTATGCTTGCAGGCCGCCCAATTAAATAAAGAAGCTTTAATTTTTGGATGTAAAAAATCGAATACGCTGTGTTGGCTGGAAACCGTCGATCCCTTCATGAAATGGAGGAATTTTATAAAAGTATCGTTCTTTAATGGGGATCTTTTTGCATCTTCGCAAGTTACGTTCGTAAGTACCGTAATTTTTGAGCTTTTCCGTAAATTTACTTTGCAATTGCAACCGTACCGAATTTATCTCATTGATCTTTTGCTCTTTTGCACCTTTGCACTCATGCGTGTCGATCATGACGATGAAGGGCACCGATATTAATTAGTGTTTTGACTACGAATTCCTAAAGGAAGATTTTGGTTACTATTGTTTGTAAGGTGAGTGCCCCTGCTTGCAATTTTATTGTATGAATGCAATTAGGTACATCATCATCCATAAAAGGGTAAAGGCGTCCATAGAACTGCTATGCATATGAATTACGTATGAGATTACCAGAGTTATTAGTACTAATTTATTATGAAAGGTACTTTCTTGTCTTAAGTGTTAAGAATGTTGATTATTAATTACATTTAGGTTGAAGGTCCCCTGATGGTTGTGTAATAAAGTTCCGAGCGCTTTCGGTGCCGCCTAGGGTAGGGGAGGGGGTTGAATGTACAGTGTTGCGGT